TCCACTACAATACCTTGCCTTTCATTTTAAATTCCTTTTAGTGCAAGAGTCACTGTATGTTTCTGAATGGAGTCCAAATTGATAGTGGATTTCTCCTTTGTGTGGCATGGTCATACTGTGACAGTGTCCCCTTTGCATGGTACTGACATACTGTTTAGTGTCATCAGAGTATAATCCTGGTGACAGCAGCTCAGGGATGGGACTGATTTATTAATGCCCAGTATTTCAGGGGCTACAGTGCATTTTCATTTCATTTTATATTATGATCCCAGAGTCCAGGGAAACATGAAAACTTCACAAGAATAAGGTTAATAATACTCATTATGATTCTTTTTCTGGACATGCTCTCCTTTTATAGAGCTGCATCTATGAAATGAGTGATCGTTAATGATTTAAATAGGAACAAACTGTTGTAATAGTCTGCTTGGGCTGCCTTAACAAATACCATAGACTGGGGGTTTTAAACAACAGAGACTTACTTTCCCATCATTCTGGATACTGTAAAGTCCAAGATCAAGGTTCTGGCAGAGCTCACTTTCTGGTCAGACCTCTTTTCTGGCTTGCAGATGTGTGCTTTATTCTCACATGGTCTTTCCTCTGAGCATGAAGAAAGGGAGAGTGAGCTCTTTGGTGTCTCTTTTTATAAGGACACTAAGCCTGTTGGATTAGGGCCTCACCCTTATGACCTCATTTAAACATGATTACCTCCTAAAGGCCCTGTCTCCCAATACAGTCACATTGAACATTAAAGCTTCAACATATGAATTTGGGGGGAGGAGGGGAGGGACACAGTTCAGTCCATAGCAGTTTGTTGATTATTTTCTTGTGTTCAAAACTCTTATTTCTGAATGAGAAAATATAAGACTTTGACATTACGTATCATCCATAGGGAATATTTTAAATAACTAAACCTCTTAGAATAAACTAACTTTCAGTTCTTATTAAATAATTGAAATATTTTGTGTATTACCCTTCAATTTAAAAGAGCACATGGTCCAGGATCTGCACTTGGTAATAATCCTAGCAGTCACCAGCATACTCTGCAATCATATGAGAAGTGTTGTTTGCTGTTTCACCGTTGTTTGCCTATTCTCTGTAAAAGTGTTTAAGGGCACTGCAATAGGATATCCACTTCCTGGTAGAAAATTGAAGTAGAACTCAATTAGAGCTTGATGGATAAAGAAATATTATTCCTTTAAAAGATTATTTGAGATAAAATTTATTTTTATTATTATTATTATTATTATTATTATTATTATTATTATTATTATAACATCTAGGCCTGTTGTGATTTATAGCACAACCTTAAGAACACCTTTAATTTTCAGAATTGAAATCACAATGATGATGACAGTGAAAAACTTGGCAATAATAGCTAATATTTACTGAATGTTTAGTAAGTGCAGAGAACTGTTCTAAAACTGTATTAAGCATAATTATTCTTCTACTCCTCACAGTGAACCTATGAGGAAGGTCCTATATTTATTCACGATTTACCCTGACAGAATGAGGCATTGGGAGGTTAAGTAACTTGCCCAAGACCACACCCTTAGGGTGAATGAATCAGGAAGTAGTTCCCAATGAACAGGAAGTAATTATTAAGACCCCTGGATATGTTCTAGTTATGAAAAGCACTGTGGTGAGTGGGGGCGGCGGGGAGGAGGGAGAGCAACGAAAACCTTTGCTACCTAGAAATCAGAATAGAAGAAATGAAGTTTGTGGCAGATGTCATAAGAGCAGCATTGACCCCCCGGAAGAGTCAAAACTCCTGAAGACCTTGAGGGCAGTGTTCCTCCAAATGCCATCATAGACTGCTTGGGACCACCCCGAATCACCTGGGAGGTTTGTTCAAAATTCAGATTCCTGGGCCCCATTCTAGAATTGGTAAATCTGAATATGAGGGTTAGAGCCCAGGAATTTGCATTTTAACTAGTACTCTCCCCCTACACACCCCCCAATATGATTCTGAAATATATTGTAAGACCACTGCCTTAAAGGATGGATCAGTTTGGATAAACAATGATGGCAACTTTCTCAACAGAGCGACGATAGGAGCAGAGCTGGAAGAAGCATGGGTTGTTTGGGAGGGGCAGTGAGGAAATAGGTCTAATTAGAATTAAGAGGCCATTTTGGAGAGCAATGCAGAATAAGGCCACAGAAGGGTATTAAGGCCAAGTTTAGGGAGGACTTTAGAAATCAGTGGAGTTTCCGTTTAATGAGAAAATAATCTCAAATATTCATGAGCAAAAAAGTAGCCTGATGAAAAACATTATTTAAGGAAAATTAATCTGTGAACTGATGAACTTTAATTTTACAAATTTACCTTTGAAAAAATAGTTTCTTAATATTCCATAAACATGTTTTTTTTCTTATTTTGTCTTTTGGCTTCTGGGATATCTTACAGGAAAAGAAAATATTACATTGTAAATGTCCTCAAAGACTGAATTTTTCCTCAACATGGGGTATAAAAGTCAGAGACTATGTAGTTAGAAAGCTAAGAGTTAAGGAATAGATATACTGCCTGTCTCCAGGTTTCAGGGTACAAATCCATTTCTTTTTTCTGCCTGGGATCCTCATCCATTGTCAGTGGAGTATAAATTGGTGTGACCTCTGCAGAGGATAGTATGACAATAGCTATCAAAATTTGAAGTGTGTATTCCCTTTGATTCAGCAATTCTACTTCTACATGGATATGTTCACGTATCCAGAGATGGTTATGATAGTACAATGTCACCCCAGGTCTGAATTGGTAAAATACTGAAAACTTAGATAATCTATCAATAAGTATCTGGTTATATAAAATAAGGTGTGTAGGGGTGCCTGGGTGGCTCAGTTGGTTAAGTGGCTGCCTTCAGCTCAAGTCATGATCCCAGGGTCCTGGGATCGAGCCCACGTCAGGCTCCTTGCTCAGCAGGGAGCCTACTTCTACTCTGCCTGCCGTTCCCCCTGCTTGTGCTTGCTTTCTGTCTCTCTGGCTCTCTCTGTGTCAAATAAATAAATAAAATCTTAAAAAAATAAAATAAAATAAGATGTGGACAAGGGAATATTATATAGCCATTAAAAAGGTTGTTGGAGTCATGTTTTATGTGTTGATATGCAAAGATGTCTAAGATCTATTTTCAGTGAAAAAAGCAAGACACCGAGCAGAAGGTGTACTATGCTACAGTATATATGGATTTTTACTTTTTTTTTTTTCTTTTACATTTGTACAGAAGGTAAAAGTGGAATACAAGAGGGCCTGGGGTTAGAGAAAGACCTTCATTTTGCCTTTTAATATTTTGTACTATTTAAGCTTGACAGAAGTCTGTCACTGTAAATCCATCTTTTTAAATGAACTAAAATATGTAGTATCATTGAAAGCCTGTTGAAGGTATTCCCACATAGGAAACCAGAAGATATTACATGCACAAGTGTGTGTGATCACAGTAAATTCACCTTTAAAACTTGTTAGAATTATGTTCCCCATCTGTTACTTTCAGTGTGTATTCTCATAGTGTTTTTATTTATTCACTCGGCAGTATTTATTGAACATATTCTATGTGCTTTTACTTAAAGTAAATTTTCAATTGGGCCTGAGAATTTCTTTAGAACCATGGGCTTTCAAACTTGGAAGAAATCTTGAAAATCAATTTCCACATCTTTTAGGCAAGAGAAAACTAAAATTCAAATGAATGTGTCTTAAGATCTCACCACCCATTAGTGGCAGGGCTGCTGGGAAAACCCAGTTCTCTCTGCCACCACCCTGAGTGATGTCACAAGACAAACTCATCTTGGATTGTCCGTGTCTTTTTACCCAAGTAAAGTCAATTCAGATTGCTTTCAGTAGACTTGTCTCCTTAAATGGACAGCTTTGGAAAGGTTTAATGATAGCAGAAATGTAGAATCTTTAATAGTAAACATTTAGAGGAAATTGAAATGTTCTGAATTTTCATTTTTTTTTCTCTTAAAAAATAACATTTTAACTTATACACCATGTATTATCCTCAAGGTTTATGCTTTAAATTTTGTTTGGACACTTTTGCCAACAGTGTTAATAGCTCATCTTAAAGATCTGTTTAGTTATCACGGGTCAAGGAAGCATCGTACTAAAAAACAAAAAACAAAAAAGAGTTTTGTTGGGTATGTATTCCCCTAAAATGAGGAAGAACCATGTATATGTAACGGAGAAAAGAAGCACTCCATCCCTGAATTTTCTGAATTGTGGATTTTCATTCCACCTGTGATATTAATAGTCAGATTTATCTAACCAGAGTCTGAGCTCTTCAGACACAAGAACTGCTTCTTTAGGCTCTCACATGCCTTAGCTGATTCGGTGTGATAAATCTGTAAGGCATTTAATACAATCTTTTAGCAACTATCAATTCTGGGGATTTTCTCCCAAATTCTTTTAATACTTTCAGAGAACCAGTGCTATGTCGAAACAACTGTAGTCTCAGGCTTTTGACGGGGAGGATAAAAGAGAGACGAACAGTACTGTTGATTTTGAGGGCATCGTATCAGGATAACACACCAAACTAGAGGACCGTAGGGATTCCCAAAGAATGGAATTCAGTGCCTCTTCGTCGACCTCATTGTTGGCATATTAAAATTATGCTAGAAATTAACAGTGGTATTTTTTCCTCAAAACTGAAAAAAAAATCTTGAAAATCAATTTCCATGTCTTTTAGGCCAGGCTTGGTAAATACAAAACCAAAGAACCCATATTTGTTCATTGTGGGCCATTGATACAGTCCTACCTATGCAACTTTTCTTGTTTTTCTGTTAAGAGCGAGTGTGTGCAAGCAGGGTGGGGCGCGGCACGGGGAGAGGGAGAATCTTAAGCAGGCTCCAGGCCCAGGGCAGAACCCCGGGGGGGCGGGCTCCATCTCATGGCCCTGAGATCATCCCTGAGCCAAAATCAAGAGTCTGACTTTTAACCAACTGAGCCACCCAGGCACCCCAGTACCTATTCAAGTTCAGAACCTGCCTGTGCTTGATTTCCCTTGTTTTTCCTCCTGAAGCTGCAAGAGAAATAATCTGGTTAGAACGGGAAGAGCGAGCCCGGCTGCACTATGAAAAGCATCTGGAAGAGCGGAAGAAGAAACTAGAAGAACAGAGGCTGAAGGAGGAGCGGAGGAGGGCTGCTGTGGAGGAAAAGCGGAGGCAGAGGCTGGAGGAGGACAAAGTAAGAGGCCGCCCTGGGCAGTAAATGGGAGGTTTGTCTACTTCAGAAATGCAGCACATTTACAGTGAAACCTTCCATTAAGGTGCTAGGCTGCCTAGCAACATTAAGTAATCCGTTTTATAGATAGATAGCCGCAGCTTCTAGGGAGGTTGGGGTATGGAGGGCAGGTAGCGAATGGTGTGGTTGTTAAAATTGTTTCCCTAAAAACTTAAAAAACCCAGGTCTCTGGTCTGGAGCTGTAACTTACTTATGTTCCGTTCATCTGTGTGAAAAGTATCATGATGACTCCCAAGTAATTGGGTTTTTCCGGGGCTTTATCGCTTAACATTTTCACATGGATTGTCTCATTTAACGTGTACACAACCCCTAAGTGTTTATATATCAGTTTCTGCAAAAATGAACATGTAGACTCAGAATGAGTAAGTCACAGCTCAGGAAGTCATGGAGTCAGGATTACCCACCTGCTCAGATACTAAATTCCATTGTTTTTTAAGATACAGTACCACATTTGTTTAGCATCTGCTGAAGCTAAGACCTGCACCACCATGCTTTTGTGAACTGTTGAAAGTACCACGTTCCTGGTAATAATAACAAGGGTTGCTTATTAAAGTACCTGTCGTTCACCAGGGGCTTTATCAACGGGGACTTAATGATTTCAGTAACCCTCCCAGGCTGACGTGTAAACGTTAGGAGGTAGGCGTACTAAGGTAAAAATCTCAGTAGTGCCTTTACTCCATTCTGCCTTAAGTTGAAGAAGCCTCGGACCACCAGGTTGAATCTAATCATCCGCTCCTCTGTTCCATTTAAGGAACGCCATGAAGCTGTTGTACGACGGACGATGGAAAGGAGCCAGAAGCCAAAACAGAAGCATAACCGGTGGTCATGGGGAGGCCCTCTCCATGGGAGCCCCAGCATCCACAGTGCAGGTAAACAAGCCGTGATTGCTTTCGAAAGTCACTACTTTTTTCCTGGACAGCAAAAGGGCAGTTGCTTCTTTCTTCTAAGCCTGTGTTTCCAAAACAAAAATCATGGGCTGAAATAATTAAACTATAAATGATGCTCCTACTGTTTGAGGATAAGAGGGTGATGGAGGTAAGAAGGTAAGGTTCTCTCCCTTAACACAGGCTGCTTTTCTCTTTTGTTACACAATTCCCTCAAAGAGATAGAAATCTGTGCAGTGTTTCTAAGTAAACATGCAGTTTGCACGCTACATTATTTTAAGTAATCATTTGCATTAAGATTTCAGGATGATGGAAGAAGTTAACCGATTTTATCATCTTCTCTGGAAGAATCATAGCAGTATTGACTGATCAAAATCAATACCATGAGCTTGCGTATTCGGACCGTAAAGCGTGTGCAGGGTTAATGCTCTGCAGGAGAAAGCGCAGGTTCTGAACCTAGAGCCAGCGAATGTCTCAGCCATTCCCTCGTTCTTGAATGGACATAAAACCTACTGAAATTTGGACCTAATGAGAGGCTTTATTTTTGTACTGTAAATTCAATACACTTTGAATTTTATATAGTGTGTCAGTTCTTTTTTGTCTGTGTGAGTCTAATAACATTTTTTATTATTATTATTATTTATTTTGAAAAATCATTGTCTTACATTCTGTCCCCAGGTGGTTTTGTTGAATCATCATTCACCTTTCTCGATTTAGCAGGCCTGGACCACCACCTCACAACTCTTGGTGGTACTAGAAAAGCTGGTACAGACATCCCTGTGGTTGCTGATTGCCTGACCTGTAGCTAGCACCTCCGACCTAGGGCCGGTCCATCAGTAGCTGAACCATCACCACCTTAGGCATAATGCATGCTTACTATCCCATTGCATAGACCTAGATCTGGGATGTGGCACAGTGTTTCTTAAGTGCGACAATACAACTCCGGTGGCTGGAAGGTGTTGAAATAATGCAATGACATGTGATGTGTTTACTTTCTAAGTGATGAGTTTGGATAAAACCTTTAAAAAGTGCTTTTTTAGTTAATAAATTACCTGGGTTCAAAGTACATCCAGTTTGCTCTCCCCTACCCCACCCCATCCCCACCCCTGTCTGTTTTCTGCTCTTAGTTTTAATCTAGAACACTGTGGATTGTTGTTTGCTCTACTCTTTCATTCCTAACATTCAGTGTGCCCAGTAGAAGCTCTTTATTTTAAAAATTCTAAAAGCATATTATCACAACTTACTTTCCTCTGATGTTGAACAGTATTTGAAAGTACTCTTTTTGTTTTTTCCCTTGGCTCTTAGTGACCCAGTGGTACTTGGTGGGGGCACGTGGCAAATCTGTAATCATAAGGCTTATTTATGTGTGATATTTTATTCTCGGGGCAGTTTTACATATACGCTCCGTACAGGAAAAGCTGTCGTGGTACATATCTTTATAACCTTATTTTATTGCTTCCACTTTCAAAGTTTAGTATATGGCCTTTATTTCTGCCACTCGGAGCACGAGAAGCTAGTGCTATATTTGTTAGCTCTTGGATAATACCCATTTTTATAAGGGCTGTGAATAAAAAAAAAATTGCTGTTATACAAGAACAGAGAAGTTGGAAAGTAACTGGACTTTGCCAAAATTCTCAAAGGTCGCAGTGATCTGCTGTGATCTAAAGAGCAATGACCTGGCCTCACTTATTTATAAAAATGCCTCACTCAGGGTGGGCACTCAGTGTTTACTGATCAAAAAACAGATCTTAGAAATTAAATTTAATCCAGATTAAATCAGTGTGATGCCTTACTGCTCACACATCAACTAGCACTTGTTTGGAAATTTTTTTAAACGGATTCTTCCTAAATCCTTTCGTGAATTTGTACTTTGTTCAGCAAGAAAAAGAAATGATTAAAAATGGTCTTATTATATTAAGTAATAGAATAAATACACATTATACCTCCATCATTTTCACCATGCAGAGTAGGCCTGCATGGAGACACGATGTCCCCCAACTGAAGCTTAACATACAAAAACAAGATCAGAAAATGTATTGCTGTCAATCATCCAGAAATGGCTTTTGTTATCCTTCCTTGTGTCCCCTGGACCTTACATTTCATCATTAAGATGTTCCTTTTGATATTTTATCCTAAATCTTCAGGATTACCCCAAGAGCCATCAGTTAAGGGTTAACTGACGTCACAGGCTTGATGTCTGGGTTTGTTTGTTTTATAATTGAGTTGCTTCAACCATACAAATGGTAGAAATAGGAATGTCTGATGTTGGTAGAAGACTTGTTTATCCCCCATACGCTGTAAATAATGGCCAAAAATGGTTATTCTGTGGAGGGACGTTTACTATAAAATTTTTGACTACCAATGTTACTTAGACCGATGGGAACTGGGTTTTAAAGGCATCTACCACAAGGATTATTTTTTGTTTTTAGTTTTAGAAGAAGCTAACAATAGAAAACAAAATATGACAAAACCCTTTTAACTTTGGTCGTAGGTCAGAACCTCCACTTGCCCTCCTAAAGAAATATAATGAGATTTTTAGACTTTTATTCCTTGCAGTTGTATTCAGGGAACATGATCTATTCTAATGAGCCTGGTTACAGCTTGGTTCCACCATACAGACAGCAAACTAACGGAGCTAGTTTTTGCCGTGTATCCTCTCGCTGAACTTTAAGAATTACTATGAAATTACTCACCTACAGGAATTATTTAAGTTATTATTAATAAACTTAAAGAATTCTGATGTTCTTTCTATTGCCGTCAGTTTTGTTGGGCAAGTTTGTGGGCCGATTCTATATTTGTAAACCACCCAAAACTCAGTGTTATAGGCAGAGGTGTGGTAGTTCGTAGACTTTTTAAAAAGAAATTCTACAGTGGCCATCCGTTCCACACCTAGTCTTTCTTCTTCTTTCTTTTTAATCTGTTTTTCTGTAATGAACTTTAATGCCCTGAGTAAAATGACTGTACAAGAAAAAGTAGCAGCAATGCATAGAACCTGGAGTTCTTTTTTTTTTCTTCTAGTGTTTGCATTCTATTTCACCAGCCCCATTTCTACCCGCTTGTTCCTAGTGGGGGCAATTCTAAGGGCATCCACTTTTACAATCTCCTCTTTGCTGTACGGTCTGCCCCATTATTTTAGTTGCCCTCCACTGGCCTTGGTCTTCGTCTGTCTGTTGTATTATAACAAAATGCTTGAATTTCCCTGGCTGACAAACTGGTGTACTAAATATTTATTTTATCCTACGAGAAAAATGAATTTTATTTCTAACCTTTAAGTTACCTTTAAATGTCCACTTAGAAAACTGTGCTATTACATAAGATCTAGTAATAGAGCTGAAAGCATCCAATCCTAGTTTTTCCTTCCTTCAGTGAACTAGGAAATTGCAATCCTGCATGCTGGCTGTCAATTAGCATTATCTCCATTTGTTTTAGATCCAGACAGGCGGTCAGTTTCCACCATGAATCTTTCGAAACATGTTGATCCCGTCATTAGCAAGCGGCTCTCCTCTTCATCTGCAACTTTACTAAATTCTCCAGATAGAGGTACAGTCAAAAGGAAAACAAAACAAAAGTGTTCTGTTATTTACTTAATGCTTTTTTTTTTTTCTGGATGTTTACAGCTAAAAATAAGCATCTGAAGTTGCTTTCCCTACGTTTCTTAAATAGGAAGAACAAAACTTCAGAGTAAAAAAGCAATAAACGGCTGAGCAGCATTTCCCTTGCGACAAGAACCTTGCTCATTTTAGAACTTGGCTGAATGGTTGCATTTAGCAGTGATGAAAGCGGTGCTTCTCAACTTTTTAGTAAATGAGTTTACAGCTCCAGAAATCACCCACTTACCCACCACCATGCAAATAATCTTTGTTACGAACATTTATTTTACTTCAATCATGTTGTCTTTGACTTTTCATCTGTACTTTGGGAATTCCAAGCTTTGACTTTCTAAAAAATCTTGAATGATTCATGTTGGTAGATTTCATTTTGCTATTTGATTTCTAATTTAACCAAACCTTGCTTACTGCATCTCTTGTGCGTGTGTGTGTGATTGGTTTTTGGTGTCCATTCATTTTGCTCTCAAGGGATTTGGCCTAACTTCAAGAATATCATCATTGAAGCCTCCTACAACTTTTAATAATCATAGTCCTCCAATTATTGTTTTATTTGAATTTTGAGTTTTACTCATCCCATGGATTTACAGTACATGAATGTTGAGCTATTTATAAAATTAAAGTTTTATTTTACATATTTATGTCATAAAAGGAAAAATCAAGTTTTTAAGATAAGCTATGGTTTTACAGAACTTAAAGTGATTTTAAGTTAGAAAGCCAAAGAATTACTGTGCAATATAAAAACACATACTCTCTAAAAGTAACAAACTGTGGTTATTTTGAATGATTTATTAGAAACTGGGAAATGTTCAGTGTTTATAGTCTTTAAAAAAAATTCAATGTGTGCATGTTCTGTGTGTATGTGTATTCATATATTTGGTATTGTGTAAAAGTTGTGTCATTGTAATGTACAATATTATACGTGTTGATGCTATTTTATAACTAATAACTAATCTCTTAAAGCAGTAAATGTTGAACAATTTCCTAATCTTGCCTTTTAACCTAAAGCATTCCTTTTTTTTTTTTTTTAACTAATTTGCCTAAATCATCAATATTAGACTTGTAGTCAAATTAGGGGCCTTCTATATGTTAGAGAAAAGTATTATGAATTAACATCCCTTTCATAAATAGCCTTTATTTTCAAACTCATTCCCTTAGTATAAAATATAGCATATGAGTGCTGTTCTTACAGTTGTCTACTCATCTTTTCTTTGGATTTGATCACTTACTCAGCACTTTAATTTTATACTTTTGTGAACCTATGTCTAAGACAAACTACAATTGGGATTTTATGATACTTTGAAGTCAGACCTTACTTACTGCCTCTTGCAGTTCCACAGCTGAAATTGGGGTAGATGGGCAATAAACCAAACAATATCCTACCACCCTTCTATGGGATGACAGTGATTTGTCAACTAGCAACAGGATTGTTTAAAAGATTCTGCCTGATCATATCTGATTGGATATTCTTAATAGGATCTTAAAACTGGGAGAGTTTTATTGGATGGCTCATCTGTTCCAGTTGGGGTAACAGAGTTCCAGAGATGATTGCAGAGGTTAAAGACCCGATTTAATAGCCTACAAACTAATTGTTGGAGAAGAGGGTCTAGCACAGAGATCACCAGCTCCCAACCTGTGTTGTTGTTACGCTGTGTCTTCAGTTCTTACCTTCCTTAGATCAACCCTGACTTTATACGTTCTTCCTTTGAGTGAGGTTAAGGATCAAGGGAAGTTCAACAGCCAGGTCCAGGAAACCGCCCCATGAATCATGGGGCCTATCAAATCGAATCCTAAGCTAGACTAATAGGATCAGAGGAAGAGCACTAAATTTGGGAGTTCTGCTGCTCTGCCCCCTTGTCAAAAGAACTGTGAACCACCAGTTCCTGGATCCAATAGGCCAGGTCAAGTTTGGCCATGAAGGAAGATTCAGTTCATCCAGGAGCTGCCATGTGATCCAGGAAGCTTTTTTTTTTTTTTTTTTTTTTTTTAAGTTAGACAAAACTTTCAGTAGGACCATGAGGGGGCTAGGCCTTTTAATGAGAATAGAAATTCTTCTGAATTTGAACTTCTCTAATTTATAAATTTAAGTAACTTAATTTTCTTTTCTGCTCTCTTTATATTTTTCTGCTGTCTTTTTTTTTTTTTT